AAAAATATTAGTTTGACATTTACCAGCACTGCTAACTCTATTATTCTACATGAACTATTCTGATAAAAGGAAGACAGACTGCTCTACCACGTCAGTTTTCTATGTCATAAGGCATAGTGGTTTTTTCCTAATAGCCATCGGTACTGTTTAAACCACAAAAATGGGTCAGGCCTTAAATGTATCTGCAAGTCACATTTCATCCTCATACTTGCGTATTAAACTTCTGTAAAAACTGTAACGTGGAAAAAGTTTCTGCAAACAGCTACTAATTAATCAATGGCTAAGATGATTAGTATTTCCCAATACATTTCTTACTTATCAGCCCAGTTTTGCTCATCAGACTTCACTCATTTAGCACTCAGGTCACTGTCATGTTATTTTTTAAGTCTGCATCGTAACAACATGGTTGGTTAACAACAGTGGATTCCTCTGAAAAGAGTGAAAACGCTCCTAAAATAGGTGAAAGTCATAATGTCTGACAGTGGGAGAAACAAAAACATACCATCAGAGGTAGCCTATTGAACTCAAAATTGCAAAAAATATTCTGATTACATGTACAGTATCTTGCCATCACTGGTCTACACAATGGTACATTTAGAATCTACCAAGAAAGTAGGCTTCCATCTTGTGTTGTAGTCACAGGCAGTCAGAGTTTCCTTCTAATGTCCATTTTAATGATGGAAATAGAGACCACGTGTATACTTAAAAGACAACTTGTAAAATCATTTTTGAAAAACAAATATATGTTATTAAATTTTACAATGATGCATAAGGACAGTATGCAGGGCAGGATTTCCCATGAGGAAGTAGAGCCTTCAGAAGCCAGAACAAGCTGCATATCACCAATGACCTTTCCTATACACAGCAAAGTCCAATCATTTGCAATCCCCTGAGTTGTTTTTTTCTTTAAGCTATTAAATACATCCACCACAACACCATCCACATCCACAGACACCTTTGTGCTGTTCATGTGTGCACAGAAGTTTACAGCTACATCTCCAGTGCCTTTATGGGGCCTGAAAACACACAGATTGGCATCTCTGCTTGTCAGCTGCATTTGGAAATTGGGAAGTTTAAGTCCACACTGTTAATTAATACATACTGCTAGGAACCAATGCACCAAATAACTTGAGGAGGAAACCTAGGCAGTTCTTACATGAAGGGTAGAAAGGGAGGCATTTATTTAGCTGAACAAAGAACGCGGTTTCCATGACTTACCCTGAAGATTCTGTGCAAACTTAAGGCTTCTCTGTGTACCATTTTATTACTATCATTTAATAGTTTACTTCCATTTTCAAACATAAGGGAACCCTGCTTAGGTGTAATCAACCAGGAATTTATAAACAAATCCAGGCTAAAAACTGAAAAATAAGCTCTGTGATTATTAAATATTTTGCTTTGCAAATTGTGTCACACAATCAGGGTTTGTTTAGAGTAAGTATAGACAAATAGTATAAATGTGTTATCTCTGTTGGCATCTGCAACTGGGATGCAAATCCAAAGCTTTCCTGAGCCTGGTGACAGAGTGAGCCATCAACTCTGCCATACTTATACAGATTCTGAATCTCCATCTCAGTTGTTTCCCAAAGTAACCAAAAAACCATGCAGCCTGTAGCACATTTTACAATTGCCCACTTTATCCGTGGAGTCCTTGTACTCCTGCATACACCACGTTGAGTAACGAGCAGAATTACAGATGAGTGCGTGGAGGAAAGCAAACAAATGATACTGAGATTTCCTTTTCCCATTTACCAGACCAGGTCCAGGTCTGGTCAGGTCAACATGCCTATGGCATCTTCCTGTTCCCCATGAAATCAACATGAATTTTGGTACTACGTTTAGTGGAAAGAAGGCAGACCTCCAGCACCGTGTGATCACAAAGACAAGTGGGGTGATTAAACGTGACTCCCTAAAAAGTACACTGTATTGTCTAAGTAAACCAAGATTGAAGCCAGCACCTTGTCCAAAACATCAGTGAAACAACAACAACAAAAAGTATAGTAAAAACTTTCCTGTGTTAAATAACCAACTCAAAATCAACTCTTTGCTCAGTCGTTTTGCTTTCCAACGAGCGCATGCAGTTCACCTTGGAGACAGACACAGAACTGAGCAAAAATGTAGTTCTTTTGGTTGCTGTAATTCTTAGTCACAGATATTGATGAAATTATTAGTCCAAGATACTAGAGCTCTAGATTAGCTAAATCAATCAGGCCTGTGCTACTGAGAAAGAGAAACAAGATTTTGAAGAGTCAATTATTGGCTGTTGAAGGCATGCTTAAAATGAACTGCAGCACGAATAGAGTGCCCTGTTTATCTATTTCTATTCTGTAGAATATCACCAGACTCCTGGTTTTGTCTGGGCTAGAGACTCCATTAATTCTGCCTGTTAAGTCACTCCAAACAGACCCAGGGATCCACCAAGATGAAGGGGTAATGTAGTGTCCCAAATAATCTGAAAATGGAGGCAGTTTGGATGTGTACTAATAAAATATCAAGCCAGTACTTTACAATAAATTGAGTGTTATTTTACAGTAGGATCCACTAGCAAAGTGCCAGCAAAACCACTACTCCAGGGATGCTGATTACTTTAAGGTATCTTAAGTGATGTCTGCTGGAAGCGACTTCCAGATCTAACAACCAATTTTTGTAAGCTTCTTCTATAGGTAAAAATGCGTCCTCTTTTCAGTCATAATTCCTCTACTTCATAAGTATTTCACATCCTTCTACTACATCATATTTTGTAAAATATCTTAACGGTACAAAAAGCCACCAAACAACTACTGGATACGGTGGTTCTTGCATTGCTTTTATTCATTTTGGGGGCAAATTCATTGATTTACCAGATCTAGGAGAGTTACGGAGGACTTGCTTCCAATAGTTCTGTGTTTATGAAACTGCAGAGTTTTTCTTTTAACGCCAGCTTTTATAACACATCCTAGCCAGGACCGCAAAATGGCAGGCTGATGGCTGTACAGCTGTTTATCTTACTGAGCACTTCAATACTCAGTAAAGAATTCTAAGCTCTCACCTTTAGGTAGACAGGTGGACATATTTCTACCATCACTACCTTTGGAAGATTTGAACCAATGGGATTCTGTATATAGGGGTCAAATAGGGGTATAACTTCAAACATCAATGTAATAACTTCTGCAAACATAATACAATTAAGAGGCCCCTAAGCACTTAGTATTGGATACTTACATTCTACATACAGCACAACTGTACCCTCAGCTGGAACAGAAAATTCCTAATATTCCTATGTAGTTCACTTTTTTCCTGCAAAAATGTCTCCATCTTTGTATATCATTTATTGCAGGCACAGGGATAGCTGACCTCACACTCAGATACCCCAGCACAAAGTGGAAGACCACTGTGACACCATATTCAGCTTCAGTTTCATCTTTAGGCCTCCCTCCAGCAGTTCCACTTTAGAATCCCGTAACAGGAGGGGTCACACTGGTATCATGTATTATGCTTACACATATTTGGTTTGAAAACTCACATATAGCAATCTAAGATCCCATTATTTGAATGCCTACGTTCTGAATTTTCTCCCTTTTTGTTCTCTTTAAGGACTTTCTTCTGCCTCACGCAGATTTAGACAGAAACCTCCCTTTGAAAGGAGCACTTCTCACTCACTGCTACCTGAATGTGACAAATTAGGTAGAAAAAGGCAACCACACAGAATAGCTCTTGTTTGCAAATCGCTTGAACCAGGGGAGCAAAATGATGATCTTTAACTAATGACACGTTTGCTGGAAACTTTTGCAGGCAATTAGACAGCCCAGAAGCCCAACCTTGCAGTATGCAGGTTGTCTGCCACGCGTTCTTGCATGTCTTAGTAACTCCTAGGGTTACAATTACTTTAAAACAAACAAAAAAAGAAACCATCAACATTCAATTTACCACTGAAAATGGCCTCTCTATTACGTTTTCTTAAATTAAAACTAATATAGCCTCATCATAAGGATTCACTCGAGAGCTAATTTTGTAAAGCATACCCCATTGTGGCAATTAACTCTTCAAGTTGAAGAATTTTAATCAAAAGAGTATTTCAGATATACCATACCTGAAAGTCCCTATATTCATTTTATATTTTAGTCTGGGTCCCTCTGAAGGCACATCAGTGTTGAAATAGGAGATATGTGCAGAAATCCTGGATTAAGTGAGAATTTGCTAATTCAGTAAATTTCAGAGTTAGGGAGGAATTTGTGCAATAGGAGACTAAAAATGACAACCTCAAATGAAGTGTAAAAATGAGGTCTTAACCATCCAGTTACTACAGATCCCACATGATCTGTGCAGAGATAGAGCTGGTGGGGTTTTTTTGCTCTGTGCTGTGTTAAGCAGTTGACATCTTTTCATCCTTGAGGAGGTGCTCATATTTCAATAGAAGATTAAGTCATTGCTGTGACTCATCACAGGGTTTTTTTTGTTGGTTTTTTCTTATATTTTAGTGCTTTAGGATCTTTGGGGATAAGAAGCTCTGTTATAAAGGTATAGCAGCGCTTCTGGTTAAAGTGGGTTGGTTTGCATTTGAAGCAAAATTAATTTACACACTGCTGTCTTCTTCCACCGACTTCCTGAGATCACAAAGTTTACGCATGCAGCAATACCAACCGCTTGCTGATAATTCATCTACACCCAGACTGTAGGTTTAGCTATGAGGTAGACTTAAAGAAAATCCAGAGAGCGACAACTGGAATGAGAAATTAAAGAACCCCCTCGCAAGGACGCAGATGTATTACACAGAGGAACCGAGAAAAACTCACCTTGTAAGCGAGCACACTGTAAAAAGCAATGCCAGTTCAACACTTCTAGCAAAAGACCAACATCTAATGTGAAAACCTGTGACTTAATTAAGGGAATGGAGCTAAAAGGGTTGAGGGTGCCGGTCATTTCAGTCAGAACACGGGGACGCGGCTCACATCTTGCAAGCTTTGTGAGTAACTGCTATTTTGTAACACGAGGCTTTTCTTTTTGAACTGTTTTTAATGCAGGCATCATGGTGAGTAAGGAGCCCAGCAAATGCTTACTCACCACCTCGGAAAGCGAAGTTGAGCCCGCAGCTTCGCTCGCTTTGGAGATGAAATATGCACTGGATCCCAACCGGCAGATAAAGAAACGCAACAAAGCCCTGCAGGTGAGATTTAAGGATATCTGCGAGGCCCAGAACGAGCAGCGGGACAAGCAGCTCTCCACCACCCAGGATACAGACAAAAAAGAAGCCAAGCCCGTTTCCTACAAAACGGCGTATCGCAAATACATGACGGTGCCGGCCCGGAGGTCCATCCCCAACGTCACCAAGAGCACAGGAGTTCAGACATCCCCCGATCTCAAGAAGTGTTACCAGACCTTTCCTCTGGACCGGAAAAAAGGGAATATCATTAAAAGCGCCTCGGCCGTTGACACCTTTAAGAGTGAGAACAACGGCTTCCTGATAGACATTAAGGAGAAGGACAGCAGGAGCTCAGAGGACGGCAGTCAGTGGGGCAAGAAGGCCGGCAGCCTGCAGACGGCCGAGTTCATCTCCCACGTGGGCGAGCGGGCAAGCACGGGGCCCGGCGCAGCCTGGACCTGGCAGGGCGCTGAGCTGCACGGCTGCAGCCTCCTCAACGCGGCCGAGCCCAGCAAGGGCAAGCCGGGAGCCGAGGAGTCGGGCCAGCCCCTCCACGGGAGGGTGTTTAAGACAGAAGTGGCCACCGTCTACCTGCCGGCGGGCGGCCCGGACGCCTCGCAGCCCGAGCCCGACTGGTCGCTGTGCCCGGCGGGCGAGGAGGACAAAAAGAGGACCGTGCATGTGAATGGCGTGCAGGGCCAGGCGGGAGATGCGGCCGCCTGCCCGCCGCAGGCGCAGTGCCGGGCCAGCGAATGTAGCGAGCGGGGCCTGCAGGTGAACGCGGCGCCCATGGAGGCTGCGCAGCCCTGCCAGGCTGCCGTCGCCCTGAGCGAGGAATGCCAACAAATCGTGCCTCACACGGAAGTTGTGGACTTGAAAGCGCAGCTTCAGATGATGGAAAATTTGATCAGCTCGAGTCAGGAAACCATCAAAGTGTTGTTGGGTGTCATACAGGAGCTAGAGAAAGGAGAAGCTCACAGAGAAGGGTGAGTGCAAACTGGTTTAAATGCTTTCTCCTGTACGTGCTGTGGTGGGTTTTGCCCAGGTCGGTTCCCATCAGCAGTCCCGTGCCCCTCTGCAGAGCACTGAGTTCCGCCTCCTATCACTCAGCTGTACATGCTGGGAGTCCTGCAGAGCCTGCCGGCTGCACGAGCAGATTTGCTATCTGCACATCGCAGCAGAACGTCCTCGGGTAGTCATGTAGGGAAAGCTTACATTGTATCTCTGCTGCTCAAAATACATGGGGATGTAATGAGCTGAGGCTCATTGGCACCGAGCTCCTGCACAGCTTTCTTACGAGCTCGGAAGCAGCCCCTCCTAAGCCAGGATTTAAGGCAGCAACCTGACATGGCATGAGGAACAGGAGGGAGAATCCTCACTGTGTAAGAACTTAACAGACAGGGAAAGTATTGTAACTCCGGATACCATTCACAGCATATGAATCCTGTTTGCTTTGCTTTCACTTTCTGAAACGTTTAAGAAAATGGAATAAGAATTTGGAGTATCAAGTCTTTGTAGCATTCGTACTTTCCTATACATGATAAACTCTTAAGGACAAAAGAAAAGGTTCTGTTTACCCCTAACTTATGCAACTGCCATCAACTCTGAATGCATCACAAGCACTGGTTCCTGTAACACAATGCAGTCTTTACTGAGAGCTCAGCCTGTCTCTTGCATTCTCTAAAACATTTTTCAGACTTAGCTGCTAATACTTATTTAGCAAATACATTCACTATGTGCATGCACTATAAAGTTATGGTTTCTGAAATCTGGACTTTAAAATCAGAAACCAGTGGATCTTGCTACTTAAGGCAGTATGTCCTCAAATTTCAGTCAAAAACATACATCTTAGATTTGTAATTTAATTTTTCCTCTAGCAGTGTGGAAAGTATCTGGTTAGCCCTAAGTATTGAGAAAAATAATCTTAGCTGTTGGACAAATTCTTCAACACCACCTTAGCATTTTTAGCTTTTTCTAGAGCTAGTCATAGTGCCTTGAAAATATTGTGTCAGTTCCCAGATCTTCGTGCTGGAACCTTCTTGCTCCAGCTGAAAGCAACATACGGATTTTCATTTTTTCATAGTTATTCTGAAAACCTATTCCTCTGGCTTTACTAACTTACAAAACTAAACAGGAATCAGAAAGAGATGATGGTAATCCTTGAGGTCTGTTCCAACCCAAGCCATTCTGTGATTCTATAACATGATGCTTGTCAAATCATAAGACACAGAAAAATATTTCTCGGTCGTAACTCATAATCTGATCATTAAGAACCCCGCGAGTATGAAACACACACACCTACCACAAAGGGACCTGCTATAAATAAGTGTTCCCTCCATACACCTACATGTCATTTTTTTGTTTTCCCGACGATACCAGAAAGCACATCCCACAAAGTACTTATTTTTAATTTTACAGCTGACCCATTTCATGTACCCAGCATCTGAATGGCATCCATGCCCTCAGCACAAGAGAGGTCTTACTCAAACTAAAATGGTTGCTGATATCTTCAAATCGTCCCTGTGAAGCTGCTAACCAGACAAAGCTGTAGCCTATATTGGCTCTAAAACAGTGGGACTACCTGTGAATCCCAGTTCTTCACAAGACTGTACTGCCTCTTATATACAGATATCAGTGTAAGAGTCTACAAGGCTGTACTATATTTGATCAAAAAGCCTATTTAGTAGCACTCTTTTACTTTTTCCCCATAAGTTACGTGGCAGTGGTGAAATGGTCCTTCCCCACCACCCATAGATACAACACGTTTTGAATTCATTTCTGGTGTGTGAAGGAGGCAATTAAGATGTTTTACTGATTCTTTGATGTTAACTGCAAAATCACAACCAGAGGCAGTTACACCAGCACTGGAGGTTAATTACAAAAACTGGAGGCAAAATATCTACAAATCACAGTGAGCCTTCAGATGAAGGTTTGTTTTCAATACAAGGGCATTGAAATGCTTCCAAACTTAGAATGAGCAGCAAAGCAATTCCAGCTCCCCCTGCACATGCTCTGGGCTTGTCCCAGATGTGCCTCCTCATGGCCAGACACGAAGTGTGTGAGGGTGGTGATGGAGGAAAGGAGAGATGCATACTTGTACATTTTCTCCTGCTTAGGGAATCCCTTGTATTCTGGATCCATTTAACTTCCTAGCACCTGTCAGATATACAAGGAGATGCAGAAAGGAGTCCAGCACTGTGCCTGTGATGCTTCTGTTCTCCACTGAGTGTACTCCAGAGCTGAAAGAACTGTCTGTTCTCACGTAAAGCACCGGTGCATTACTAACTGAAAAAAAAGTATCTTTACCCTTATTCCCCTCAAATTAGGCAGCCATTTCAATAAAAGGTACTCTGCCTTTTTTGCCAGTAATTCTTGCCCATTACTACATTGATTTCTACAACATTTCGCCACCAAGACCAACTGCTGCATATACAAAACCATCACAAATCTTCTCAATTTCAGGGTGTTGCCATTTCTTCCTTTAGCAGCCCCTGACTCCTGTTAAGTCAGTTTATAACAAGAAAATGAAAGAATTACTACATCTTCATCTCTTCTTCCCTGGCAGATATATACAAGTCTGCCAGGAATTAAAACAAAAAACAGTGCTCTGTGTTTATGGCAGTCTATTGGATTTCTTATGTATATTAAATACCTTCCAATACACACAAATAAATAATGCACTGCAGGCCAAAAAGAAAAAAGAATAAAAAAAAAAAACAATATAGAGTATATAGCTAACTCTCTCAATCAGATTTTTCTCCCTTCAAGAAAATCAGTGTTCTTTAAGTGCTTGTTGTGCCATGGGACTGGTGCTCAGTAGATTCATTTTCACTAATATGCTGTAGGTCTTGAACTGCTATTACTGCAATTCATCACTAAATGAGTCTATGCCAGCAAAAGTGTATCAGCATCTCTGAAGATAGCAGTATCATCCTTTGGGTGAACATCATCCATGTGTACTTTTCAAAATGTCAGTAGTACATTATCTGCAATTAGCAGCAACATACAGCACTCAACTCTGATGAAAAGCAGTTGAAAAAAAACAGGAGGAAGAAAAGAACATCTTCCCTTCACTCCTGACAAGAGGCAGAGGGCTCCTGCTGCCCAAACCTGATGCACTGAGCATGCATCACGTCCTCTCTTCTCTGACTGAGGATCACGCTCCAATTTATTGGTCACAGAATGAAAAGTTGGGGCCGTCAGGCAACACAGCTCTTACCATCAGCTGCAGCATAATTTTGATGCATTAAATCTATCTGAACAGCATGGCACGGATCTGGAGACGGGTTAGAAATCATCATGGCTAGCTTGTGACAGCCACACACACCCCAATCAAAGATGATTATTAAAAGTGTACGTTCCTTGCATGCATCATTATTTAATAACATTTTGGCAGAACAGCGATTCGGTCTTTCTGTGTGGAGGTCTCAACAACAACAACAACAAAAATACATCATAGCCAAGGGCATTAAACAACCTTTGATTTAAGTCATGCATGAACAGAAGTAGCAGAGCTACAGCTTCCGTTCAGGCTTCCAGCTCCAGGTGGGGAAAAGAACTGACTATTACGTGATGCACTGTGCAGCTCAAAGACCCAAAACAAATTACTGGCTCTGAATTATGCTTGCCTTATCTTCTAGTAAACTGTTAGCAATCTCTAACAGCTGTAGACATGCCTGTATTCAGACACAGTGCATTCAATTAAGCAAGCCAAAATTCTGCTCTGTTTACCTGTACGGAGCCACACTAAGTCAGGAGGAGTGGAAACAAAACACAAGGCACTGACTTCAAAACTTGGCTGACGATGGTACTGCATGTGAAATATGTAACAAGAGAAGCACTCAGAAGATGAACAGATAACTGAAAAATATGTTGCAGCTGGAGAACACCGATGACCTGCTCCTTAAATCCTTACTGTGAGAAGGAACAGTAATCAAGGCCCTTCTTATTATGCAATAAATCAGTAATTTTAATAAACAAAGCACTCAATTTGCCATACAAAAATGAGCCAGAGTGTTTTGACTGCACCAGGCCAAATGCTACATATTAGACAAGAGTTAAATGAACCTGTTTCAGCAATCATTTGTATTCATTTGTTAGTGGTTCAGGAATTCAGAGAGCTCTCAGCAACATGAAAGCAGCAATTCCAGACAACACCAGCAGTTCAGAGAGCTCATTCAAAGAGGCTTTGAAAGAATACGATCTCATGGACGGATTTTAAATGCCATTGCATGCATCCTTCCAATGAACACAGGATATTTGGGTGCCCTATTATCATTTCTAAGCAGCGAAGTGAAGCAAAACCGGGTGTGTTTGCATGGATATTAAAGCAAGGAGGAGAGGAGGGCTTCATCCAGCACAGAAAAACAGCAGCCTTACCCCAATGCTTCTAACAAATACTGCAAGCAATCACCCTCAGGATCACAAGAACTGAACGTAAACTTATCCTGACTCAAGAACGATGAAAACTGAAAGTCAAAGCAATTATTGCCCAGTTTGCTTTTCTCCCTTTTCAGAAGCTACTTCAAGCACAGTCTGGCTATTCAGCTCAGGTGAAGGGGAGAGAGCAAATGAAGGCAGTAACAACCTCTGCTGTCTAACTCAATCCACCTACGCACACGCCAATACTCTTACAGGCAAGTTCTTTATTTCACCTAAGGAGAACGGTAAGCTCAGAAAGCTTACAAATATCCAACCTCTGAAAAGCACAGCCTTTGGAAGTAATGCGCTGGCTGCAGAAATGATACGACATGGTTTTGTTTGGGACTGTTTTGTTGTTCTTTTTTAACCTCTCTGGTTTCATTTTGCTTTTTCAATTACAAACGTAGCACGGGTAAAGTTTAAGAAAATTGTTTCTAAGAGAAAGCTTGGAAATGGAGGAAAGCAATCTGTTGATAAGCTTCAAAGAAGGCAACAGCTGCACCGCAAACAAAGATAGGGAAACCAGAAAGAATACAGCCAGCTTTATCTGTGATGCAGTAATTAC